TACTGTAGTGCTAAAACAACTCATGATTTGCTTCTTTAAAACATTGTTTCCTGGATTTTACCTCACCTAATTCAGATTACTCATTCTGACCCAATGACTTAGCTCTGCACTACAAAGATTATGAACCATAAAAATTTCTGTCTAGTAGAACTATTTAATAAATAAATAAATTAAAAAATTCTGTCTATTGTGCAATTTTATAAAATTGCTAACAGGAGAAGGGATGAATGTTCCTAAAACCTAATTTTTCTGGTACTCATACAGGGAATTTTTATGTCAGATAAGTTATTGTAGAGATATATGTATGGTGTTCCTCTCTGTTTAAGGGTATATTCTTTTTTGGTGGTGGTGTGTTTTCGTTTGTTTGTTCAAGCCCTCGATTTCCAGGAACTCACTTATGTAGACCAGGCTGACCTCAAGCTTACAAAGACTCACCTGCCTCTGCCTTCTGCACCACCATACCCAATTTCAGAGGCGGCTCTTGAAGGTAGTGACGGCATGTGCACCTGCACACTAATTGGCCCTTGGCATAAATAGATGACCTCCTCAGGGTGATATTAGTACAAGGCCAGTCCAATCTACAAGGTGAGTTTCAGGACAGGCTCCAATGCTACATATAGAAACCCTGTCTAGAAAAAATTATCCTGTACATGACGGGTGGTGAGATGGCTCAGTGATGCTGGCTGCTGAGTCTGACGATCTTAGTTCAATCCTTGGGACCCACATGGTGGAAGGAGAGAACCAACTCCTACAAGTTGTTTTCTGACCTCTACATCTGTATTGTGGACATAAGATGCTTGTGTCCACCCATGTGCGCACCCCACAAATAAGTGAACAAAGCAAAACAAAAAACAAGTTGATAACAGGAAACATGGTCCCTGGCTGAAAGTTTTAAACTTCACTTCTATGTGGATGGAGTGTATTCTGAGTCTTACACTTCCCTATCACCTTTTTCTTCTAGGCAGCTTTTGCGACTTTTAAATATGTGCTCTAGAATTGACAGCTTGAAGCTAATTATCTAAGTAATACTATTTTGAGGTGGGTCTTCAGATGTCAGGGATCTTTACCTCCTGAATGGTACTAATGTCCTTATAACAGTAGGACAAGGATGCCACTCCACCCCCCACCTTATGGAAGCAGAGAGCAGCCCTCACTAGATATGAACTATGCTGGCACCTTGATCTTAATGCTGTTTCTCAGAACTGTGAGGAAATTAATTCCCATTTTTTTCTTATAAATTATCAGGTCTCAGACATTTTGTTATAGCATCAGGAACAGATCAAAACAACGTAATTTATTTTTAAATTTCAGCTTTATTTTATATACAAGGCAGTGTGCTGTTTATTGCAGATATAGGAATAGATGTCATGGGTTTCAAAGTGCCTTCATGCCAGAATGAGAGGGATAAACACACCACCATGAACCAAAGTGGAAAATGCATGCTATCCCTCAGAGCCAACTGCTGATAGGAATTTCTACTCTCAGAAGAATTTTCTGATGGGAACAGTCTACACTGAACATTTGACAAGAATGTGTTAGTTTTCTCCATAATTACATGTCTCATAGATGAATACTTTGCCATCATAGTTTCTAAGTAGAGTTTCAGAGTTTGGCAACTTATTTCCTAAGATCCAGTTGCCACAATGGCATGAAGAAACCCCAGAGCCGATTCTGCCTTGATTTCAGTGTGTTCTGAATGCTAGTGATTCCACCAACTCTGGGGCAGACATGTGTCATAACAGCTGGTGAGGATTGGGGAAGCTGTCCAGAATGCTCGGAGGGCACCCTGGAACACTGTGGAGAACAGAGTAACACTGGAGTGGAGTGAAAGCTCAGTCATTTGTCAGATCCTTATATGGCTCAGAGCAGCTGATGACTCTTAGATCACAATTTGGAAAGTAGAGGTCAGAAAAGCCAGAAAAGTGGATCTAGATAGACATTCTAAAGTGGATCTAGATAGACATTCTGCCCATGTTATATCATCTTATATGTATTATGCTATATCAACATAGAATATATGCAAGAAAATATGCCATTGACCATGAAACATTTTATGCTATCTATCACAGCATTTCTCTCTTATGTTTAAGGAAATTATCAGAGAGAAATACAAATATATGTTCAAAAAATCATCAGGGAAATGTAGTTGATTAATGCTATTAGGTGGTAAGATGTAATAAAGTTGAAAGCAACCTCTGATAACTGGAGTCATAATATTAAACATTGAAAGTAAATCACAAATTCATAATGCCCAGGAGTTGTGAAAGGAACAGAAAAACTATGAGAGGTAACAGGAGCTCAGCTCTGGATGAGGAAAAGAAAGTTAATCTGTTTTCCATTTTAGTTATTTGCATATTTTCTAATATTAATAAGGCATCATTTTACAAAAAAATATTTTTGAACACTTGTCTGATGTGAGACTCTTCACATGGTGACTGGCAGTTTTTTGAGGAGTGTCTCCTGTCTCCATCTAGGCAGTTAGAATTATCCATCTTTGCAGACATAACGAGGGCTCAGGGAGACTAGAAGGCAATCTGTTTAGTTCCCACATGAGATCTGAGATGTGAACTCTGCTATTTCTTTCATGTTCCATCTAGACCACCATCTTATTATTATGATCCAAAATGATTAGAGGATTGATTCAGAGCCTCTGCAAGTCCTTCTTGTGTCATATGTAGTCTTCTGCCTATAGCTCTACCTTCTCTTTCCCAAAGAAATGTGTATGCTATCCGAAGAAGTCACTGCTGGGCCTGCACTGGCCTTCTGTTCCCTCTTAAGGCACTCTCTTCTAAGTACTCACCCTCTGTTCTCTACTGAGACACCTTCTTCCAACATGTATATCCCTCATGGACAAACAGTAAATACCATCCTTCTGGTTTGCAGCACTTACATAAGTTGTGATATTCGGAGATTAGTCTTTAAGATTTTAAAGTACAATCTTTAGAGCAGAAGGCCCTAAGGACAGAACTTGTCTAATATGAAAGCTCCATGGGAAACCTGTGTTGCCTCTCTTTATATGGTGCATGCTCTGCCTTGTTACTCTAAAGGCAATCTACTATAACTGAAGCATGTCATGTGACCTAATAGGCAAGGCTCAATGTGTTTACATGGCTTTCATCAAACCAGCTGAGTAATATTCAAAGCACTGAGGTGATGCATGGCCTGATTGACAATGAGTGGCTCCCAAGACTCAACTCATTTTTCTCCCAACCAAGCAATAAGGAAACATGATAGAAGAGTTAATAAGTCTATGTGAAATGTTCACTGTTAGTTACATTCGACTTTTGTCTCAGCATACTAGCTAAGTTGACTTTGTAAAGAGCAGTTGCGGATATATATCGCTGGGTCCAAACTTTATACTAACACCTGACAAAAAGATGAATTTAAACGTGTGTGAAACCAGATCCATGTAAACCATACAAAACCACAGCACTGAGTAGGGAAAGTGGACACAAAATCCCAACCCTGATCAAGAAAGTATATGCAATTGATACCTGCTGGGAAAGGAAACTCCAGGACAGGTCCCATTTACAGGAGTAGTTGTCCAACATAAAACAGACTGTGTGTGTGTGTGTGTGTGTGTGTGTGTGTGTGTGTGTGCACATGCCTTTTGCTTTGATATTTTTTGTATTATTGGTTTTGTTTGTAGTTTATTTGTTTTGAGAGAGAGGAAAAGCATGAAGCAGGGTGGATAGTGAGACAGGGAGGATTTGGGAAGAGTTGGGGGAGGGAAAAGAACATGATTAAAATATACTATGTGAAAATATTATTTTAATCCTCAAAACATGAGTTTGGGGGAAAGTACCAGGCAATATTTCTGATTTTTTCAACCTAATTCATTTGGTGATCAAAACTTATATGATAAAATGGATTGATTCAAACAGTATTTTCAGACATCTTGTTTTTATGGAAGCCATGGTTTTAAAATGTGAAATAAGAACCAATCCTGAAAGTAGGTCTTCTGTTTAAAGGATGAGATTTCAGAAAGGAATTTATGTCTCAGTTGAGTTGCTGTAACAAAATACCAGATACCATCTGCTTTAAATAACAGAAATGCATTCCTCATAGTTCAGAGCCTCTAAAGTACAAGACCCTGACTTGTTGGTGGTCACCTTCTCTAGTCCTCACTGGGCTTTTATTCTGTGCGTGCATGTGGAGAGAGAGGACATTTCTTCTTCTTTCTCTGTCTTGCCTTCTCTCTTTTTATAAAATTCTAATTCTTTCCTGGAAGCCTAGTATTACAGCCTAAAAGAATCCTATTTTCTTCCCAAAGCCTTTTTCTTCAAATGCCATGACATTATGGGATAGGGCTTTCATCATATGAGTTTTGGATAGAGTCAAGAATTCAGTCCACAAAAGTTGGTGGGTTAGAAAGAGTTAAGCAGCCCTCCAGGAAGAATGCTTCTACACTTGGCTGGTGGTGAAGACATGTTCATTTCTTGTCCCTATGTCAGCTGGAAGGATCAATGGGGCTCTATGCATGGAGGGAGGGGGCCTTACTACAAGCCTACTTTTGCTTGTTGGAGCCAGATGAGCCTTGTGGTCTGTGATGTCAAAAGACTTCAGTGCCTAGATCCTGTCAGAGATACTGGAATGTAAAGGACAGGAGAAATACAGAATGAATTGTAGGTGTCTGTTATTCTTGAATAAATTATAGCTGATGTTCATTTGCAATCTCTGTGGTGACAATCAATTCTTCCATCATAGAGATTTGCATTAGCTCTCTGAAGTTGATTATTAAAGTTTAAAAATTTCTTATCTGACCCTTTTCAAAATGCAAATGGCAATAGTGGTTAGTAAGACAGTTTTGCACATTTGTTCAAGAAAAGAAGCCAATAAATGCCAAGCTAGAAAAGGATCACCTTTCAGCTTGTTTCCATATACTTTATTTGGAGGGAGGGTGGATATTGAGTTGAATCATGCTCTGAGGACACTGTTGGAGCAAGGCTATTCTTTCGTGTTGAATGGATCTCCCTTGTTTCCCTTTGCTCTCAACTTTAGGGCCTAAAGGAAAACAGGCTTGTGACACAGCCAGCACATTGTCAGCTGGAAGCTAAGGCTAGAAGACCACTAATGTCTTCTGTTCCCAGGACATCTCCACTGATGCTCTGCCTGTAAGTATAAGTTGAGTCACACTTTATTGCAAATTTACAGTATATGGACATTAAGTGTTAAAAATACTTAGCAAGCTCATACCAACTGTGTACTTTATGAGAAGACAGAGGGAAACAAGAGCTGGCATAGAAGTAGTATGTGGGACAGACAGAGACAGAAAGAAGTCTTTGCAATCCTGAGACAAAAATAAGACCCTTCTCCCTTGTTTTTTTCAGGTATTTATCATAGCCTTAGCCGTGTGATTAACACAGGACTAAAGACTTAAGGCATTTTAACTAATATCCTGCCTAATTCTGGTACATGGTGTCTACTTAGCAGCTTGAATGATAGTAGTTTAACATATTTGTGAGTCCTATTAGCTTATGAGGAATGTCATAGAATGCCTATCTACTGGTATACTCAGGTAGAAAAACAAAGTCTTCAACTGACAATGCTTGCTTTGGATGGCAGTTGTCACGAAAAACTTCTGTGAAAGAAGCATCTGTGAGTGTGAAGTTTTGGGAGAAAGATTGACCTCTGATAGGTTTATTGCAAGAGAATGATCCAACTGCCCCAGGTCACCTCAACAGGTGGCTCCTTTGAATCTAAAAGATTGTTCAACAAATCACACAGCATGAGAGGGGTGGGGTGCTAGTATGAGTCTAAGAGATATAGCCCATGGCGCATAAATACCTCTTATAATGTTACAAAGATTTTATTTAGTTCATTTTGTCTTGATAGTGCTCACTCAATATTTGATTTGTTGGTTTCTCTCATTCCATATAATAAGATGTCCTATCAGAAGGGTAATTTCAAGTCTATATATTATGCCTAGATAAAAACACTACCACCACCACTACCAAAATAAAAACAACAGAATAATAAAACAAAAACCCTACAGACTTGGCCTCAGTAAAAGATACATCTGGATATCAGGATTATAGTAGATACATGATGTTTGTCAGTGTTTCCCACATGCATGACTGTAGGATACCAGGGAAGTCACACACATTACAGGTAGTCTTTATAGTCATTAATAAGCAGAATTTGTGAAAATGGTGATTTAGTTCATTGTGACTTCAACAGTAAATTGATTATCAGTATGACCAACTACCCTAGTCTGTCTGAAGCTTGGAGATTTCCTGGAAGATAGAACTTCTGTGCTAAACCAGGAAAGCTGCTAATTTGATATGCTTTCAGAACCCGGGTTTAGAAGTCAAAAGTAGCAAATACAGAAAGAAGGTGTCTTAGTTACTTTTAGATTGTTGTGAACAGACAACGTAACTAACACAGTTTATAGAAGAAAGTTCATTGGAGCTTACAGTTTCAGAGGGTGAGTGCATGACCATCATAACAGGGAGCAAGGCAGCAGGCAGGCATCTGTAACACTGGAGCAGTAGTTCAGAACTCATATCTTGAGACAGCCAAGAGTCATGGTATGGACTTTGGAAACCTTAAAGTGACATACTTGCTCCAACAAGACCACATCTCCTAATCCTTCCTAAACAGTTCCATCAACTGAGGACTGAATATTCAAACATATGAACCTATTGGGGCTATTCTCATTCAAACAACCAAAGAAGTGAAATAACTGTTGTGCTGAAGTGGTGATACCATTCCCATACACAGAGGAATCCTAAAGAATGGGCTGAGTGTGAGCAGTGGTTATAGCAGAGTTTATTAGTTACACGGGATGTGGCTGAATGTTTGTGGTGCAGTCTTGCTTCTTCCTTTTCTTCAAAATGCCTTTGCCATTCATGAAGTTACAAATTAACTTGTCAGAAAGGAGAAAGGAATAAGGTTTATTTAAATCTAACTTAATTCAGATTTAATGTGTCTATTATATAGGTAAATAACATTTCTTTATTACAGTCATAATGAGGGTATGAAAAGTGAAATACAATTTCTGCCCCCATGTGCTTACTGTCTACTGAGGTATATGTATACTAATTCATAAAAGATAAGTTCAAGTTTATATAGAGAGTTCTAGGATAGAAATATTCACAGAATTATGACTGTTCTCCAAAGGGATTGAGACACACACACATAGGAAAAGAATTGGGGTAGTAACCCTACTGACAATGTATTTAATACCAAAATGTGGCTTTGGACATGTTTGGTTTATGGGAAGTCAAATGAAATGACTACATTATTTCCTACTTTGTAGGAAAATAGTCATTTAACTGAAAAGAAATCATGTTGTCTATTCGAGGTTCTTTGTGGGGCCATTTAGGTGGAAATCAAGTAGTGTTAATCAGATTTTCTTAGATAGAAATGCTAAAGATGAGGAACACTAGATTTTTACCAACTATTATTGATACTACTATCTCCTGGAATAAGTTAGGGTAGTTACAGGGATAGAGGGAAAGGAAGTGAAGAAGAAGAAAGGGTATGGGGAGAGAAGGATAGGGAAGGGAGGGAGGAGAGAAGGAAAGTGGGAGAAAGGGAATGGAGGGGAACAGAGAAGGAGTGTGGGCAGGGAAGAGAGCAACATACTCATCACTGTGCTTAGTGCTGGAATACTATTGAAACAGATGTGGTCTAGGAATGGCTGGGTCCAACAGATACTATTGAAGACAGATATGGTCTAAGAATGGCTGGGTCCAACAATCAAATTCACTGCTAAATACAGCTGCTACATCTACAAAATCAACACAGTACAAAGAGGAATAAAAATAGCTAAGAAAGGCAACAAATGGCCAAGTTACTACCAAGTATGGAGACAATTATTTTTGTAATACAGAATCTAGAGCAAGTCACTGAGAAACTCAAGGCTCTTCATCTACTTTCCTATTTATTGGGCCAATACCCAATAGAAGCAAATCTGAGAGAGGAAAATACCCAAGAGAAGGCAATCTGAGAGAGGAAAGATGTATTCTCACACAGATCTCAGCATTATCAATTCATCCTGACAGGGAAGGCCTGGCAGAGAGACAGGGTCTGTGTGTGGCAGAGGCTCCACACATCTTTGTGGGACAGGAAGCAGAAAATGGGCCTGTAAACTGAGTCGAACTATAGTCCCCAAGTTCTGTCTCTGGAGACTTGTGTCTACCAGTGAGCTTATGTTCCTATCAGCACCACTAACTGGGAACCAAGTAATAAAACATATGAGCCGAGAAGACATTATATTCAAACAATAATGCAAGAGTACTTTAGACAGAAAGACCATAAAAATTAAAGCCCTTGTCACTGGACAATAGCTTATAGCTTTGCTAGTAAATTGTTGCCACACTGACATTACATGTACATTGCATTAGAAACAGGCAAGCAATCTCCCAAATAGTAGAAAAGACCAATTCTGGAAACCCGCATATACCACAGAAGCCCCTAGTTTGATCTCCAGTATGGGGGAAAATGCCCCTACTCCTCTTTGAGGAAGTGTGTAGAGGTGAGCTATGGACTTGCAGGCACACAATGGGCTGGCTTTTGCCAACCTGTCACATGTGGAAGACTACTAAGTATCTTAGTCTCCTACATATGCCTGCAAAACTATAAAGCAAGCCATGGTCATGGGTCATGTGGCTTTGACTATATAATTCATGTAAACTATGGGACTGTTTTGTTTTTAATTTGATGATTTTTGATTGGAGCTTTTAGTAGTTAGTCCTAGAAAACACCCCATTGAAGGCTGCCACTCTATCAAGCACTTACATTGGGGTTTTCAGAAACTGGCCTTTGGGGTCCAACCTTTGCTTGCAAACTTATGTGCACCTTGCTTGAGGACCCTCAGCATGAGTCTCTTTGACCCCAGAGCTTTAGGATCTTCTTACATGGACCTGCATGCTGAAGGTTCTGACATCAAAGGGTCAAATCTCTCCTCTGCCATTTATCCACTCTGTTACTCAGGGCAACTCACTTAACCATCCTAAATGTGTTTTCTCTTAGGGATGCTAACAATACAACACAGAAGGTTGGGGTAAGGACTGAAGGAGGTGATGCATGCAAAGCACTTAGCACAGTGCCTGACATACGGGTTCTACTCAGTGGATGCTATTCTTACACAGCCCATACATGGACAGCCTTTGATTATGAATATCCTATTGAAGGTTCCATGTATTTATGAAGAGTACAAAGTCATTATGAAGATACTCTGAGACACTACTGTCAAGGCCTGAACCCCATTGTTCTCTCTAAAGCCCTAACTTTGAAGCAATTGCCCAGTAGATGCAAAATCCAGTTACACCACAGACATTCAGTTTTATAGTCCCTGGATCAACTACCTCAGCTTCATACAACTTCAAACTGGGAAAGTCTATGAGGGCTTCTGGAGTCCATGTGTTGACAGACTGTCTTAGAAATAATTTCCAGGACAGAAATTTGCAAACTAGGAAGGGTGATCACAGACCAGCTTGTGGTGGAATTGGCCAGAGTGAACTGCCACAAGGGTATTGTGTATAGGCTATTATAAGAAATAATTAAATCCCTGTAAGTCCTTCTAAAATCTAAAGGACACCACATGGAGAGCAAAATATCTTGCCATTAACTGGAAGGTGAGGTATCACTGCTACTTTTATCAGCTTTCCCTATCTTTAATTTTTTGGAACACAAACCTATAAAATCTCATCTCTAATGTGATCTTCTAGTTCCCTGTGTTTGGGTAACATAACAATCAAGTAAAAAAAAATAAATCCTCTCTTTGGGGTAAAAGACATCACTCAGTGGGTTAAAGCACATGTCATTAAAATATGAGGAATGGAGTTCAGAACCCCAGAACCTGCACACCACAGAAAAAGCTGGTGGGTATGTGGGCCTGTCTGGGGAATCCCAGTGAGCAGAAGGAAGCACATTTCCTAGAGAGAGCTAGCTAGCCCGACTAGCCAAAATGGTGAGCTTTGGGTTCAGTGAAAGGCCCAGCCTCAAAATATGAAAGGAAGACACTCGAGACCAACCTCAGGCCTCCATGTGTAAGTGCCCACACTTGTTCGCAAACATTCATAGATGCACACACTACTCACCCATAAAATATGCATGTACCCCTCAATAGATTTCATTTGCTTAGAGGGATGTAGGGAATAGCCCC